CAACCACTACAGAGAAAGATCAGAGAAGTCGTTCTACATGAAACTGAGACCCAAATACTCCCAAAAACATGAGAACACCAGATGAAGTTTGGGGACCCATTTACATGAACTTGGAGCTCTACAGACGGCTAGAATATCTTTTGACACTTTACCAGAAGATAAGATAAGATGTCTGCCAAAAGTTACAAGAATTCAAAAATGAGATCGTCTTTTTCCAACCGGCAAATTCTCATTACCAGCTATATAAGGATGAAGATTGAAGCAGAGGAAAGCACGATGAAGAGCACATACGAAAAATAACAGAGCTAAACAGAGCATACAAAAATCAAGAGAGTTTTCCATCTCAAGAGCTATATTTGAAAATATCCAAGTGAGAGAAAAACACTCAGATATAGAGTGTTCAAGAGAAATCTTTTAAGAGTGTTAAATCTTCATCACAAGAGACTTGCAGTACATTGAAGATCATCTACAGATTCTCAAAAGTTGGAAGCAAGAGAAAACTTGTTTTATACAAACAAGTGACATCCCTACGGGAGTGTAGGAAGAAGATTGTCATACGGAGCTGTGAAGTCTTGGAGAAGGGAAAGTAACGCGGAGTTGTGAAATCTGGAGAGCGATTCTACCGGAGTGTTGAAGTCAGGGGGAAAGCAACGCGGAGTCGTGAAATCCGAAGCAGCAGTGTTGGTGCCACTAGGAGTCATTAGTGCGGGCTTGGTGATCAAAGCACTAGATCACGGAATTCAATGTATCTAGGAACCAAGTAGTGGTGGATATAGTGAATTGCTCTTGGAGATAAGAGCAAGTGGAGTAGGAGGATTACACCACCTCCGAACCACTATAATTGTCTTGTGTTCTTTACTGTTTTCTTTACTTACTGCTTCTTGCTTGCTTCTCACGAGATATACTTGACACAATCTCTACACACACTTGCTTTATTTATTTCCGCTGTGCACCATACTCTAACAATCTAGTTAAGAGTTTTGGTTTCTCTGTGCCTTAGCAATTGTTGTAATTTGGCAAAATGGTTTAAAAGTCTACACACCCCCCTCCCCCCCCCCCCCACCCTCCCCCCTCTAGACTTTTACCACACCTCTTTTGGGACCAACATAGAGCTACTTGGGTTTACCTTATAAGAAGAAAGAGTGAAGTTAAGCAGCTTGTGCAGGGCTTCTATGCACTTGTCCGTACACAGTTTGGGAGAAATGTCAAAGTGTAGGGTGTGAGATCTGATAATGGAAAAGAATTCTTCATGGAGGAATTCTATCAAAAGAAGGTAATCATTCATCAAACATCATGTGCCTACACCCCTCAACAAACAACATTGTTGAGAGAAAACATGGCCACATTTTGTCTATGGCAATGGTCCTGGGGGTCCAAGCTAACCTACGTAAGGAATTTTGGGGAGATTGCATTCTCCATGCTATTTATATAATAAATAGGCTCCCATCAGTAGCCTTAAATAATCAAATTCCATATCAAATTATTTTTGATAAAATGCCACAATATCAACACCTTAGAGTGTTCAGTTGTCTGACTTTTGCTGTTGTTCTAGTTGCTAGAGGAATAAGTTCTCACCAAGGGTTAGGGAATGCATCTTTCTGGGGTTTGCTAATGGTGTGAAGTGATACAAGTTATTTGATGGTCAGACAAGAGATGTTTTTGTGTCTAGGGAAGTTTCATTTTATGAAAACATATTCCCGGCCATTTTAAAATCCACAGGTTGAGCAACCTGCCAACTGGTGAGCATGTTTCATATTGAGTTCAACCAGTGGCTCCAAGTCCGATTAATGAGCCTGTTGGTACATAATTATCACCACCACCACAACCAAGGAGATCTACATGGATAAGAACCACACCTACTTATCTCAATCACTATGCATGCCAGAGTGTTACTCCTGGGAAAACATCTCCACATGATATTTCTAAGTTCTTATCTTATGACAATTTGTCACAAGGATACAAGCAGAAATTAGTGTTTTGCAGACCAATAATACATGGATAATCACTTATCTTCCCCCACCAAGGAGCCAATAGGCTGCAAGTGGGTTTACAAGACCAAGCTTAAAGCTGATGGAACCATTGAAAGGCACAATGCCAAGCTTGTGGCCAAAGGTTAACTCAAACTGTTACGTACTGAAATTTAGTACGCAACTGAATAAACATTTCGAGCAAGCATCTGACTCCCAATCGTATTCGAGTCACGAAAAACTCCAATTTCACACTTCAAGCGTGTGAGGGCTCCAAAAAGAATAGCTAAAGGACCACAGTAACAATATATTTCTCTGCTTCTCCATCTTCATATACAATGGACCTATTTATACTAAGTTAGTAATACCTATAATAATTAACCTACCAAAAGAGTAAATGCCAGCCAAGGTCCTCCGAGTTTGGTCGTTTGGCCACCTTTAGTCCTAAACTTTCAAATCGACCATCCGTGGTCCTCTGAGTTTCGAATTCGACCTGCCGTAGTCCTTCCGTTAATTGTTGCCATCTATGCCATGAAAAGTATGGGCAAAACGGTCCTTTTATTTTAACCCCAGCCAAAACAAATCATTTCCCTAAAAAATTGTAGGACTATAGAGCTTTCTTTGCCAGGAACGAATCCACAATTGTGAAATCTTCGGATTGAAATTGCGGTTTTGGCTTGCCAAAGAACTGTGTTTGCGTAATTGGGAATTATTGGAGAAGAAGTTTGATGGGAGGAGATTAGGGCTAATTTTAATTTTTTTTAGGGAAATGAATTGTTTTGGTTGGGGTTGAAATAAAAAAGATTGTTTTGCCCTTACTTTTCACGGCATAGGCGGCATATGTTAATGGAAGGACTACGGTATGTCGAATTCGAAACTCGAAGGACCACGGATAGTCGATTTGAAAGTTTAGGACTAAAGGTGGCAAAACCACCAAACTCGAGGACCTTAGCTAGCATTTACTCCCTACCAAAACTATACTAACTATACAAGGTAATGATATATTATAATATACATGCATAATTTCCCTATGCTAATTTATTATGCACAATATTAACTCTCCCACTAATTAAGTTGTATCATCCTAATTATCTTACTAATTCTAGAAATATAATTAATTCTTCCTAATTAAGCTACGTAATTACAATTAAGGGTGTTGATGGACAATTTTAATATAGTCCTCGCAAGTGCACGAATCACTGTAGTAATAGGGTGCAATAGCAAGGGTCGAACCCAAGAGGAATTGATAAAATGCAATTTAATAAACTTGAAAATAAACTAACTAGACAATTTTAAATAATGCAATTTAATAAACTTGAAAATAAACTAACTAGACAATTTTAAATGTTCACAGCTAATTACAAATCAAAATGTATTTAACCAAATGAAACTGCAAGTAAAAGGGAAAAATAATTGAATAACCTTGAAACAAAATAACAAGTAAATAAAGAGATTAGGAACCAGAATTGACAATAAAAATAATCTAATTAGAATGAATATAAACACTAATTAAAACTGCAATTAACAACAATGAATGAGTGGAGAGAATAAAAGCAATGCACTAATTAATATGCAATTAACAATAATGAATAAGTGATAAGTGAAGAGCATAAAAACAATTGCCGTAATAATTTTGCTGCCAACCAAGAAGATTGCTTTACAATTCTTTGCTGCTTAAAACTGTTAGCTCTCCAACCACCGCCCAAAATTCTTTGCTGCCAAACCCCCAAGCTGCTGCCTGGAGATCTCCACCGCCGACCTCCAACCGGAATTGGTCCGGGGATGATTGATGATTATCTCCATTTGATTGTTCTCTTTTTATACTGCTCCGCCTCATCAATTTCTCCTTCTTCCGCCATAGATTTCTCCAACCTTCGTACTAACTTCGCAAACTGACCATTTCTTCCGGCTCTGATTCGCGATCATCGCTGACCCTCTCTTCGTTCGCTTCTTACGATTGACTAGGAGGAAAACAACAATAATAATAATAATAATAATAATAATAATAATAATAATAATAATAATAATAATAATAATCTTATTAGAGACCAAATATAACTAATCTACATTTATTAAACTCCTGCTGATCATGTACTACTAAAATTAATATTATTATTTTAAATTAGGATCAAAGAATTATTGGACTGGCAGAATTCAAATAATTCAAAAATAGACAAATTTAATAAAAACAACCTAAAATTGAATAATATTACTAAAAACTAATTATATAAATAATAAATAAAAATAGATAAGAATTAATCAATTATTTGCAACTTAACTATAAAAAATTATTTAAAAAAACAACAAAAATAATGTTTATCAGGTGTATCACAAACACTTGGATTAGATTACTTGATACATTCAATCTTGTTGCAAAGATAACAATAATTAGAGTGTTGTTGGTTGTTGCTGCAATCAAAGGGTGGACACTCCATCAATTACATGTGAATAATGCATTTCTACATGGGGAATTGAATGAAGAGGCCTATATGACATTACCTCCTGGTTTTACCTCTCCCAAACCTGGTCAGGTGTGCAAGTTGGTGAAGTCACTATATGGATTGAAGCAAGCTAGTAGACAATGGAATGTCAAATTAACCCATGAATTGTTGAGCATAGGATTTAAACAAGCTGTCTTTGATTCTTCCTTATTTACCAGGGGCAAAGGTGATGATTTTGTGACCCTACTGTCTATGTTGATGATGTGGTAATTGCAAGTCCTAATCTAAGTGAGGTGCAACAGATTAAGGAGCATTTGGATGTTGTTTTCCACATCAAGGACTTAGGTCCTTTGAAGTTTTTTCTAGGGTTAGAGGTTGCCAGAAATAGCAAAGGCATTTGTATGACACAAAAGAAATATACTTTGGAATTGCTTGAAGAGGCAATTTTTTTACATTGCAAACCAGCCAAAACACCCATAGTCACATCAATTAAGCTCAGCAGAACTACTGGTAACAAGCTTGAGGATCCTACTCAATACAGGAGACTTGTTATTACAAGACCAAACATTAGCTATGCTGCTTAACAGTTGTCTCAATTCCTAGACTACCCTACTAATATACACATGCAGGCAGCTCACAGGGTCTTAAGGTATATTAAAACAGCTCGGGACAGGGTCTTTTCTTCTCAGCAACGTCTTCATTGCAGCTCAAAGGCTTCACTTATTCTGACTGGGCTGCATGTCCAGATACTATGCAATCTGTCACAGATTTTTGTATGTTCCTTGACACCACTTTGATTTCTTGGAAGTCAAAGAAGCAAGTCACCATCTCTAGGAGTTGCTTTGAGGCTGAATACAGGGGCCCTTGCAACAACAACATGTGAAGTGCAATGACTAATCTACATGCTGCAAAACTTGGGGATAGTTGTGGATTCCCCGACCATGTCATATTGTGACAATAAATCCGCTATTGCAATAGTTAAGAACCCAGTTTTCCATGAGAGGACGAAGCACATTTTGAGATTGATTTCCACCTAGTGAGGCAGAAGCTACAAAAACTAGTCCTAAAACTGCTGCGCGTTGCTACCATTAACCAGCTAGCTGATGTGTTCACAAAAACTCATACTCCAAATACCTTCTACAACTTCATTTCCAAGTTGAGTCTACGTTGCATGTACACTCCGGCCAGCTTGCAGGGGTGTCAACGGATAGCAGCTTCACGTCAAAGTCAATGTCCAAATCACCATCTAGCGTTTCAAACTTGTCCATTTGTCATTTTTGATTTATAACTGCTTTATAACCAACTCTGTTAGCCTTTTGTTCCTTCCCCGTTTCTTCTTCTTTTGTATATTGTAGCTTGTAAACTGTTGTTCTGTTGTATCATCATCATCAATCTTCTTCCTCCTTCATCACTGCATAGTTTCCCTCACCTTTTTCAATATTAATCAAAACCATTTTAGTAATGATTCATTATTCCCTCTGCATCCCGCAACCTAAACCACTTTGTATTTTTCTTTTTCCATTTCATTTTTCTATAGAGACAGCCAACTGTTGCAGCTCTTTCCTTTAGGAGAGAGGAGACAAGTCAATTTTTTATTATTATTACTTTTGATATTTTGTTTCTACCGTTTATAGAAGTAGTTAAAAAAACTAATAACAATAACAGTAACAGTAACAGTAACAGTAACAGTAACAATAACAATAACAATAACAATAACAATAATAATAATAATAATAATAATAATAATAATAATAATAATAATAATAATAATAATCCCCTTAACTTTCACAGATTTCAATTCCTTTCTGCTAGTGGAAACTGGAAACGGGAAACTATGTCCAATGGTTCATTTCCCATAGCCACAAAAAATTAAATATAATTCATCGAAAAAAACATGGAGATTTTTATACCTTAGTTTATGGGAACTGTACACTACGTACTACAATTGATAAGTCTGGAATTTTGTTGTCATTTTATGTTTGTAGTTGAAAATGTTGCACTGTTACAAACCAAACCTCCGACCTATGCTTGGGGGGTGTTGGCTGTGAATTCTGTACCCCCTTCAGCTTCTTGTTGTTTCTACCGCACATAACACATTGGAAACAATATATAATGGGAATCATGTTACTAATAAAAATTACAAAATCATATCCTAGCACCTAACACATTGTCCCTTTTGTGTGCCACACCCATTTAAGGATTTCGGTGTATGCGAACAAGTGAAGTTAAAACTAAACTGTACTAGGGGTAAGACCTATGGTAATTAAGTGTATCATTTTTCTTACTGATGTCTGATGGATTTAATTATCCGGGGTGGACCTGAATCACTAAACCCAATAAAGAACGTATATAGGAAATAGATAAATAAAACGATGTCCTAAGACCGCAGGGGTCGTATATCGTATTAAATAACGACAAATTCGGTATTACAACGATGATTTTAGGACAAAGTAGATAATGTAGATTGAACATGTCTTAATGAGACAAGGTGGGGAGTTTTATATCAAACAAACCCCCAACCGCACCCCTAAATCGGGGGGTGGTTGAATCTCCGAGTTGACCGCGTTCCAGCCCGGGACCGGGTCCAGCATGCGGCCGAGCTCGACATGACCGAGCTCATTATGGCCCGAGCTCCTCGGGCTGAGAATTGGAAACATTAGTGGGTATGAGAATGGTATTTAGGATATCATTAAAAATGGAGTTCATGAAGGGAGCTAATTCAGCCTACACTGTTATGAAAGTTCTAAGGGATGAAGCCTTAGTGTCAGCATACTGTTCTAAACTGATTGAAGACCAAGACAAGGACTTGATATCAAAAATGTTAGATGAGGACGAGGAGGAAGAGGAGGACTCGGAACAGGTTTTGATTATTTTATAAAGTCAAATAAAGTTGTACAGTTTTAATCTTATGGTTGACAGGTTTTAGACTAAACTTTATTTTAATATGCAGGAAGCTTCAAATGGAGACAATGAGGTCAACAGTCCATTAAATCTACATCAGTCTCAAAGCCTAGACAATGATCATTCAGAGGCAGATGGTGTGAAGCGATCGCTTATGGACCAGTTTTCATCCTCTAGCAGGAAGGGAAAAACTGTGGTGGTTAAACAAGAAAAAATCTGAGCTGTTCTGGGATACTACAAACTATTACCACATTATTGTGGTTTTTTTTTTAATATTTTTAAAATGATCATTTGCCATGTTAAATTGGACTGTGTTTGTCCTGAACAATTTCATGTTATTGAGATCTATGATTAGACTATTTACCTTTGTTTTTTACCTATGATTTTTTGTAAACATTCATTACACTATGTTTATTACATATACTGTTAGATGTATGAATCTGAATGCAGGACAAGAAAGAAGCAACCACAGGGAAGCAACCACAAGGAATCAAACACAAGGAATCAAGCACAAGAATATGGTAGTTAAGGAAGCAAACACATTCAACCAGTGTAACACACAAGGGTTTTCAATTACTAATTTGTAGCAATCTGCTATTTTGAAAACTGTACTCTATCAATTATTAAGTCTGAATTCTTAATTGGACTCTATCAAATGTAATCAAACTTATTATTTACAATGGTAACAGACTGTTCTGGTACTTTACAACTCACACACTTTAAATGTAGAGCATTAGCAAACTATCATCCAAAAACTGTACAACTTAGTCTTTGATCAGTATGATACAACAAAAAAAGATATATACAATCAAAATGGTTATTTATACAGACAAACATTGGTAATTAAAATAATGGTTTTTTCTCGACCAAAAAAAAAAAAAAAGTTATTTACATTGGAAACATCGTACTCTGTTAAAATAATTAACTCACACACTCTAAATATCATCATTAGCAAACTATAATGAAAAAGAAACTGCTCACACTTTTAAGTTTAAGCAGTTTGAAATTAAGTTTTAAATAAAAGAAACTGCTCACACTTTTGACTTTATTTATTAAGTTTCTGTATATTTTTGTTGTTTTTATGCATCAAAAAACAAAGAACAAACACAATACACTTATCATTCGTATATCTTTAAATAAACATTATTTAAAGAGTAAAAAAAAAAAAAAAAACTCAGCATAAATTCACTTGGTCAGTTTCAAATGAAATTACATTTTAAGAAGTCAAATGTATACCGAACCCAAATCAAGCCTAGAAATGTCAATTAAAAACTCATACATAGGTAAATTTGAAATAGAGGAGTAACACTGCAGGTAACTTCCTCATTACAAAATAAAACTGTTGTTTTCAAATTACAAGATGTATGATCATGTCTATCTGAGACCAAAGTACACAATCTGGGACTAACACTGTTGACATGAGGAAAAGTACATATCACACCTAATGTTAACACTACATAACAGTACATAGGACTCATAACAGTACAATTCAGACTAATTGTGATAAAATGTGAATACAAAATAAACAATTCAAAGTAATGTCTATTTGTGTTTTTTTTTTAACATAACTATTACATTGGTCAAATTTCTAAAGAAGAAAAGTGTATAAATAACTCAATTAAATCCTAAACCACCAATCAAAACAACCTTTAATTAGTTACAATTTCATTTACATTCTTAATTAGTTTAGATAGAATATGAACAGTATATTCTTTCTATTCAGTTTTATTCTATTCAAAGTATACTAAATAGAATATATTTAGGATAAATGAGTAAAAACATTTGGTAAACTGCAATCCATTGAAGTAAATATAATTTAAAACTGTTACACATTGAAATTTTACAATGAGTAGTAAAACTGCTCTTTTTAGCATTACAAAGTCAGACTGCTTTGGAACTGGATCATCACAGTACATATGAGATAAACTTTGACATTTTAGGCCTAACAACTTGGACATCACAGTACATATCAGATAACCTTTGAAAGATAAATTGGATGTACTAAATATTAAAAACGCAAAAACTATTTATATGAATAATAATTAAGGCTTATCAACCAAAAAGGGAAATAGACATGTAAGATGCTGTTTACTAAGATGCTGCTTACAGTTAGGGCATCAGAACTGTAACTTCATCATTTGCCAAAGCTTAGAAAAAATGTTAGTCACAATATCTATTCCAAAACCACAACTAAAATGATGAAGTTATTAGGATAACCTGGAACATTGAAAAGACAAAAAATAAGTGTAAACACAAAATCTGCCTACAGACTAGATAATAATTTATAGCATAGATAATGTACAGCATACTTAACCAGTCATCAGAAAACAAAACTCTGTACATCATAAACTAAATAATTAAAAGAAAGTGGGAACATGTGTATTCAATATCATAAAAACTAATTGGCTTTGTTGTTTTCCAATAAAAAATGAAGAGTCATATCATTGCTTTTCATCATTACTATTACACTGCACTCTTAAATGCTAAAAACCCAATAAAAGCTTAACCTATTTGAATACAACTATTTCTAATACAAATAAAATCACAACAAAACACAGGAACATAAACAATAACAGCTCAGATATGAGGAAAATAGTTGCTTCTACAATAATAGGAAGCAAAAGAAAGCAAACATTCGACAATCAAGGTACCATAAACACTGCTTGAAACTGAAAATTTATACTTTACCTAAGAATTTTTTGTTCATTGCACAAATTTACACCTATTGAACTCTGTTGATGCCTGCTTACCTTCCCACCTTTGAATGTGTACATATAGATCTAACAACTACACCTCTGCAATTAAATTAGGTATCATTTGGTTAGTGTATAATATCCTAGGAATACTAAGAAGCCAATAATGTCTGATGTTAGGTATATAGACAATAATACAAAAACAAATTAAAGATCTAGAATATGTTAAATATTCTAAGATAAGAATTTAGACAAACAAATTTGTACTCTTAAACTTATCTTGCATTTCAGTCCTTTAATCTGCATCTAAGTCATGAACACCGTACGGACCCATTTTCTGATCTGCTTGATCTAGAATTAGGAAACAAAAAAAATATTAAATTTGATCTACAATTAGACGGTAAGACTTAATTTATAAGCAAATACAAACTACGATAGGGTATAAGACTTGCTTACCTTACATCTGATGTAGTCGAATAGGATAGTAATTGAAGATTGAGATACGAAGCTTGACGTTAGAACCTTAAAAATGCCGATCCGATTCTAAAAACCAAGATCGGAGATTAATAGTTCAGATCCTCGAACAACAACTAAACCGATCTCAGTGTGGTTTTCACAAATGAACCCTAATCGGATCTTACTGCAATCGGTTTAGGGGTTGAGATCTTCTACGAATTAAAGAAGATCTCAACACTGTAATGGCAGATGACGAGTTCTACTGTCGGAGATGGGGTTTTTTGTCTGAACAGATAGAGAGATAAGGTTAGGTAGATGTGAGAGGATGCTAGCTGTACGAGAGTGTGGAAGAGAATGGATCAACAAATGGCAGATCCATCTAGAAGACCCCTAAATGCAAATGACAGTATTCTAACATTATATTGGGTATAATTAGTAGGTAAATTTTGCTTTGATTTTTTAATTATAGAATTATTGGTCAAATCTAGGTTGTGGATAATGGTCCACAATATTGTGTGAACAATTGGTCCATCATCTACATTTTTAATATACTCAAAGTATATTTAAATGTAATTTATTTCAATCACTTAAGTTATAATTTTTTAGACTTATGGTACATTATATACAATTATGTACACTAGGTAGAATAAAAAGTCACTTTCACAATATATAACTTACGTAGCTCAATTTTCAGAAATTAGTATATTACAAATGTATTTTATTTGGAATTATTTTGATAATCATATCGTTATGTTTAAAAGTAAAGGTACTTATCTATGAATATTTGCACCTTTTAATTGCAGAAAATGTTGAAAATTCTCCGGTTACAAGTACTCATAACGCTATTTTGAAAAAAAATAGCTCAAAGTTACATACGGAATGCACACCACTACAAGTGGGTACTTCAAGTGATACACCAAAAAGTGGTCTAACAACAGGTAAACGCTCATGTCTTTTCAAATGTAATACCATTTGGCATTTACTTAGGTCTAATACACTGTTTAGAATTTTTTATTTTTTTTTAACATTTTTGGAAACCTGCAGTGAATCCAAAGAGTATAAATATAAATATGAGTACATGCCTCATGGAATATACGACAAGGAAAAGTAACTCCAGACATTTTGTATTAGGCGGCAGAACTCCCTATTTATCCTGTACAACAAGCTCTACACTTCCCGGTTAGTTATATTAAGGCATATACTTAATATTATTTATTTCATATCAGAACTCGGATATCATCAATGACAAACACAAAAAATTTTCATTTGTTGCAGAGGGTACAATAACTATGTCGAACAGCACACGATCACCTCTACAAAATATATCAAACCGTAAGTATTGTTAGATCTATTTTTAAGTTTGCTTAAGTAGTTATTTTTATTTATTGAACTTTTTTTTTTCTACTTAAAATAAAGTCGCTACCAGACAATGCAACAAGAGTCCATGCATGAATGAGGGTAAAGACCATAGCCAAGATAATGTGGTCAACCGCGATTTGTTTCAAGATTTTGAAGAAGTTTGCAATACTAATCGCATTTTAGAACAAATGGAAGACACTTGTGGTAAGTTCAACATTCACTAACATTTGCGAAGTTACTTTACAAAAAAAATGTTCAAGTTTATGTATTTAGTTGTTTAAATCAAATGTATTACTGTATCGTAGGATTGGTCGAAATTCCGCAACAACCTATACAACATATTCCAAATGGTAATTCCTTTATTATTTAGAATCTTACGTAAATTCAAAATTATTTTATGTGTACGTTATTATGTTTAGTGTAGAAACCAATCGCATTCACCTTTTTGATAATAATCAGTTCAATACGTGTATGCATAATATGAAATGTTTAAGGTCATCTTATATAATTGACCTAAATTATATTTAATTATCAATGTAGTTGAATACAAAAATCTTGGTGATGCAAATAACAAGTGTCAACATTGTGGAGCGCTGTTTTGGCACGAAGAAAGGATAAACAAAACAGTTATTCATGGCACCCCAAGATATTCAATGTGTTGCAACAACGGTAAGATTAAATTGCCACCAAACCTGAGGCCACCAGATGCAATTTACAATCTGTTTTTTGGAGAAGGAGAAAAAAGCAAGCAATTCCTGCAAAACATTAGAACATACAATAATATATTTTGCTTCACGTCCATGGGTGGTAAAATAGATAGAAGCGTGAACAAGAACGGTGGTCCACCAATTTTCAGGATAAATGGCCAAAACTTTCACTACATTGGTAGTCTCTTGCCGGTCGACGGGAAAAAACCCCATTTTGCCCAGTTGTATATATATGATACTAATAATGAACTTAGTAATCGTATCAATTCTGTAAGGTACGTACCTGTTAATTAATTATATGTATACTTACAAGCATATTATACCGCACATCCATTCATATTATATGTGCATAATTCAATTGATTTTTTTGTCTCTTTCTAGGCCAGATGGTGAGCAAAACGGAATCCATGTAGAGATTTTTAATGATATTCAACAAGTGTTGGATACATGTAATGTCTTGGTCAAATCATTCAGCATGGCACAATCTGAGTTACAAATGAATCCACTTGCTGAGGTCAAAATAAAATTGCTTGGGAAGAGATCAAAGGATGCCAGAACATACAATTTGCCGCAAGTTTCTGAAGTGGCAGCATTAATTGTCGGTGATATTGATACAAATATTGGAGAACGGGACATTATGGTGGAGATGAAAAGTGGCCTCTTGCAAAGAATTAGTGAATTAAATCCAGCTTACTTGCCGATGCAATACCTCTCTGTTGGATTATATCAGAAGATGAAAAGAAGAATTTTGCACTTACGGAGATAGAAATAATGCTTTCAGCTATGGGAAAAAGTCTGAAAGACTTTCAAGGGATGCCCATACCTGATGGACAATTTTATATATAATGTCCTCGCAAGTGCACGATTCATTGCAGTGATAGTGTGCAAAGGCAAGGGTCGAACCCACAGAGAATTGATATTAATGCAATTTAATTACGTTTGAAATTAATTAAATTAATAATTCTTTGACAATCAAATGGTAAACAAATTAAATGAATATATTTTGACTCAAGAAAAGGAAAAGCAATATTTAAAGGGAATTAGAAACGGAATGCTACTACTAAAATGATCCTAGAAAGCAAGATTTAGCAAAGCATATTAGAGTTAACAAGAAACACCATACAGTATCATCCTTTCACCAAGTAACTAATATCAAAATAGATTAATAACAAGGGAAAATAAAGTGAAGGAAAGAAATGGCAGTATGAAATGTTGTACGTGCCCAGAATTTCAGATTAACAAATTAAAGTTATCTAAACTAATAAGTAATTAACCCCTAAACAGCTTCTGGCCAATGATAAAAAATTGATTATAGTGCAAAACCAAAACACAGTAATTTTGCCACTAACAATTAAATGAATTGCAATGCTAATTAGAGAATGAAAGAATAAACAAAGGCAAAAACCAGGAAGAATGAGAGCTGCCAAACGTTGAACCAATCTGATGCCACCGCCGGTCAGAAATCACCACCGCCCAATGGTTGGTTGCTGCCGAAGAATGCCAACGTTGCCGTCGGAGATCGCCGCCGGAAGACCAAACCCAGCCGTACCGACCGGAGTTGTTCCGGGGAGATTGATGATGAAGAACGATGAACCTTTGCCTCCTTTTATACTGTTCCGGCCCCATCAGTTCCTCCTTCTTCTACCATGAATTGCTCCGGTACTAGTTGTGCCAAATGACCATTTCTTCCGTCGGATTCGCTCTAATCATCGCCGGCCCTTTCTTTGTTCGCTTCTTACGGAAAATAATAATAATAATAATAATAATAATAATAATAATAATAATAATAATAATAATAATAATAATAATAATAATAATAATAATAATAATAATAATAATAGAGACCATATATAACTAATCTACTATTATTAAACTCCTACTAATCAAGTACTACTAAAATTATTAATATTATAATTAAATTAGGATAATGAATTATTAAACTGATAGAATTCAAATAATAGACAAATTTAATAAAAACAACCTAAAATTGAATAATATTACTAAAAACTAATTATAGCAATAATAAATAAAAATAGATAAGAATTAATCAATTATTGCAAATTAACTATAAAAAGATTATTTAAAATAACAACAAAAATAATGTTTATCAATACCCGATTTAGTTAATCATTCTAGAACAACTAATCGGCTGATACAGGAGGAATTGGCATATGATGTTAATGTAATGAAGGAAGAGAATGATACTTTGGTGGAGAAACTAACTGAAGAGCAAAGAACAATATATGACAACGTATTGCAAGATGCTGAGAATAATCTTGGAGGACTTTTTTTTGTTTATGGATACGGTGGAACGGGAAAAACATTCTTGTGGAGAGCATTATCTTCGGCTCTAAGGTCTAAGGGTGAGATAGTTTTGAACGTTGCATCGAGTGGCATAGCTTCTCTTCTATTACCCGGAGGAAGAACTGCCCATTCAAGGTTCGCAATACCCATCGCTGTTAACGAAGATTCAACCTGCAATATCAGCCAAAGCAGTCCTTTGGCACACTTGATCATGCAATGTAAGTTGATCATTTGGGATGAGGCACCAATGATGCATAAATTCTGCTTTGAAGCGTTGGACCGCTCTATGAGAGATATAATGCGTGCCAAGAATCCAAACAGCTTTGATATGACTTTTGGTGGAAAAACAGTGGTGTTAGGTGGAGATCTCAGACAGATTCTACCAGTCATTCCAAAGGGCACGAGGCAAGATATTGTGCTAGCAAGTATAAATTATTCCTATCTTTGGAGAAGCTGTAAAGTGTTTAGGTTAACAAAGAATCTACGGCTTAGGGCTTTGAAATCAGATAGTGAAGTTCAAGAGATTGCGGATTTTGCAAAGTGGATTGCTAATATAGGTGATGGAACAATTGGTGATTCAATGGATGGAGAATCTGAGATAAATATTTCGGAACAATTTTTGCTCAACTGTGGAGAGGATCCTATTGCTACAATTGTTGATAGCACATTCCCTATGTTTCGAAGTGGCCACAGAGATCATGAATATCTAAAAGATCGTGCGATACTTGCGCCAACTTTGGATGTTGTAGATACAGTCAACGAATACATGAATGACTATAACAACGCTGAAGGAAGGACGTATCTCAGTTGTGATTCGGTATGCAAATCTGATTCTAATGTTGACATGCTTGCTGATCTGCACACCCCGGAATTTTTAAATGGCTTACGATGTTCTGGAGTTCCAAATCACTCATTGACTCTAAAAGTTGGCTCCCCAGTTATGCTCTTAAGAAATATTGATCACTCATTGGGATTGTGCAATGGTACAAGGATGA